TTAATAGTTGGCAGCATGGGTTAAACAGGCAAACAGAGTTTCCCTGCCGACTGAGACCGTCCAACTCTGGTCAACTTCTCAAGTGGCGGCGACACTCAAGTCCCACAATCCGACACAAGATCAGCCAAGTCGAGCTCTGTTTTTAAAACACCGCGCCGCTTGCCCCCTGCATCAGTAGATCCCGTCGGCTGGGAGTCCAGACAAATTTACACAGCGACTTTTTAACATGAGAGATGGAGAGCGGCACTTAGCCTGAGAAGTCCGGGGTTAAGTGGTCGCTAGTGGTATTCCCTGTAGCTCGTTGGGGTTAGATTGCCAGTCCAGCTGTGAGAGAACACTGGGCAGAACTGAATTGGATAAACTAATATTGAATGTCAGAGAATTATAACTGAGTGTAGCCTTTCTGTTGTCTCATTTACGGACTATCAGAGGTAATTTTATAGTTTAGTAAAGTTGTGTTTGGTAAAGTTTCTTTATTTGTTTCAGTGCTGTCATTATTTTTGTAAAGTAATATGTGCGTGTTGTAAACCTTCTGTAGTTTAAAGACTGTTTCAGTTATTGTATTGCTGTTAGAGTTTAGTTTCATAGTTGCCTGCCCTATAGCAGTGTTCTTCAACCTGTGATTCGCGGACCACTATTCTTATTACTTCCCAGGATATTACATGAGACCCATTTTAGGCTGGGAACCAGAGTCATTTATGAAAGAAACAAATCCCACTCGGTGCGGATTCGAACCCAAGACTTAACAATAGTCAGTAAAGTAAAGATCCCTTTACACGCTAGAGGCACATCAGGCAAATGAAATTACTCATATTGGTATAGACCTCGGTGGGAAAGGGGGGGGGGGTGTGGTCAAGATCTTGTCGGACACCTTTCTTCTCAGGACTTTAACTGGGCTCCCCTTCTAAAGCTCGGTCGACATGGGAGCCAAGGTCATGCTTGAATAAAAAATCCTGTACCATGCAGATTTTAACTCACGATTTTTGGATACCTGAGGCGAGCATGAACCACTATGTCAATGACGGCTCGAACAGTGTTTATGTTCTATTATGTTTAGTCATGGATGTTTAGTTTGCATCTGGTGGCTGATTAGGACATATTACAGTAATTTATGGTGTTGGTAAAGTCGATTTAATCATGTCAGTCGCTGAAAATGAGTAATCAGAAAGACCAAGTGAACATTTATGAAGCTTTTAGTGTTGCAAGAAACTCCACATATAGTCTGCACATTACATAGTGACTGGTTTGGCAAGTGGTCATCATTGCTCAGCTTGGACATCTTTCCTTTAACCACGAGCTGTAGGAAGTAAACAGCTGTAGGAAGTAAACGTAAAGGACATTTCTCAGTCATCGGCAACACGATGTTAGGCTCATATAGACCAGTCGGCATTCGGTGGGAGTTGTCCCTCCCCCCCCCCCACTATATTTATCCCAACATTATCTTGCTGGCATTTTAGGCTGGGTCAATTTGGGAGCCAAGGTCAATTTTGAAACAAATTCACCTCATTGTGGATTTGAACTTCCGCCTTCAGGCTGGTAGGGAAGCATCTACCAGCACTACACCAGCACAGCTTCCACTAGCGATAATGGTACTGGTGTGAAAACCAGTGTGGTTGTACAGATTTCAATGTTGTTAACAGAGTACTTTTCAATTTTATTTTCTTCAACTGTAAGTCCAACTAAGTTAAATATATAAGACATGAGTTGAGTCAAGAATTGACATCACAGCACTCGGGACATTCCATGTGTGCTCCATCCTCATCTTCAGCAGCCAGCCCAGAGTTCCAGTACAAATGGAGCCGATCGTAATCTGGTTATGTGTCCCTCCTCTGAGTCTTCTTCTTCTTTTCTCTACTTTTGGAATGCCTCATGGCGTCAAAGTAAGAAGAGATCTCTGGAACTGGCCCTTCTGTTCATAGTACCTTTGAGCATCTCTGAAATTTTTGCAGTCCATTGTTTTGCGTGGTCAACCTCTGGCTCTGTTACCACTGACTGGCGCCAGTCTTGTTACATGGCCAGATCCTCTGAGTGCAGTAAGGATAAATAAGACATATTCCATTTTACCTGACACCTGTGGCAAATTGTTGACTTTGGAAATTTTACCTGATAATCTGATTCTGAAGCAACATCAAATGGCTATTATCAACTAGGCAACTAAGTAAGGTTGTTACATGACTGGCTACCTCAGCTCATCTTGGCTGAAGGCCTATGCTCAGTTGAAAGATGATCGGCAGAAGCTAGACACTTTAATGCTGACTCCGATTTCACTTTTTTTTCAGATCAACAATTTACAAGCAACAGCAGCTTTGTTGGGAATAATCTGGAGGTTTTCATACACTCAAGCTTGTTGCTGACAACATATCAGTGGGTGTTGTTATCTTTTGTTTGTTTGTTTCAAGCTACACTTCCTTGACTTTGATCCTCTCTTTATGTTTGTTGTTATCTGTAGTCTCTTTAAAGGAACAAACTGTGCCATCTCCACAATGGAGGTTGGCTGCAGTGTGTTTACAGCTAACTATGGGAATAGTATGTGCTGAGGCCCTAATCTCTTCCACTGTAGGACTTTCATACCACTTTCTAAATGCTGTGAAGTCTTTTTCTAAACTGCCCACTGGGGAAATCGAATGTGATAAACATTGAAGATTACATTGTGACACAATTTCCCTAACCCCTGTGCCACACAGTCCGTGTGTTTAAAGGCTAAATCAAATGGTTTGGTCATGGGATCACAATGGAACAAAATCAGCCAGTAGCTAGAACATACTACATGAGAACAGCAGGCTACAAGGTAAGAGGCCGACCAAAAAAGAGATGTGCAGAGGGAATTAAAGAGACACTTCTACAGAAACACAGTGTGACATTAACACATTTCCCTGCAACTAGCAAAAGACAGGAAGATACATATAACTCTTCTAACTCTTCTAGCATAAACAGTTGGAAGTTCAAAGGCTAAATTTCTGCAGTAAGTTTTATCCCAGTATTTTGTGTCTTCCTCTGTAGAGATGCTGGTCACCCACAGCAGCTTTGTATCAACTCCATAGCTTCAGAAACGACTCCTAGAGAATTCCAAAACCATGAACCAAAGGGTGGAGCTGGAAAGTAAACTCACAGTCTTGAGGGCATAAAAAATACTTGACCACATCACAATGAAAACTTCCAAATAACTTTTAGGGTGGGGGAAAATCAGCTTTATAAGAGCACAGTCACATGGACATTCTAGCTGTGAAACATACATCAGGGAGCAACATGATACAAGCAGCAATAAGAAATATGGATACCAATTCATCAGTTGTGTAAACTTAAAGATGATATAAGATAGTTATGGTTAGTCTTTTCTCTCATCCTCCATTCGCCCTAGTCAAGCCACCTGTGCCATGGGCTGCTGGAAAGACGGGAAGGAGTTGCTGGCTCAGTGCATGCAGCCTGCTTGGGCACATTGACAGATACTTGAACATGAACAAACATTGAGAACACTAAACTGCTGACAAAAAATGTTTATTGATCTATCCAGGGTAACAGGCTACTACTCACGAATCATCAAATATTCATTCATTACCTGACCAGAATTATCAGTTAAAGCCCTTCCAGCCGTTTGCACTTCAGGTCTTGCAGAATTGCATTAAAAAACACTTGAATTCACAGCAGATGATTTTCTTCCATCCCAGTATGAAGAAGGATACCAGCATGGCCAGGTTTTCTCAGGAAACAGTATGGCAGTGTGACCATACATCCAACTTAATTCGTGGATACATTCAGTTCACACACTCCAAGTGTCATAGGACCGGGTTCTCACAGGATGGAAAACAAGACTGAGCTTTTTTACTTGCTCCCAGTTTCAATAATCTATTCTACTTCTCATGCACTCAAAAGGTCCACTCACAGTTTTATGATTTCCTTGTCTGGCACACTTCAGCCTAACTGCAGGTTTGTCTTGAGTTAATATTACTTACTCATTCTATTCACACCTACATTATAATTAGTAATAAGTGCCATCCATAATTTATGTTTAGTAGTTGTCCTTATTTTTCAGATAATGAGAAACTTTACCAACAATGAGAAAATGATTCCTTACAGATGACAGCAATATTGGCCTCAGATTTCAGTATTTTTTCTGGATAAAACCTGATGTTTCTTAGAAATCCTACTTTGCATCATGAGTTTACATTACCTTCCTGTGTGGCACGTTGACATCAGAACTGGCGCTAGGTGTTATTTTTGAGAAGACAAATCCATAGAGTGTGTTCTCTAGATTTGTCTGTTGATAATGCAGAAGGTATTGCGCAGGCCATGGCAAGGTCTGTTTGTTTGGCTGAGCTACTGCTTCCCAGACAGATGTTAGAGCATTGTCACAGCTTCATTTTATAAGGCAGTGTGTTGACAGCTGCCAGAAAATATAAAAAAAGGGAATCATTGGTATTGTCAATAGCTTTTTTGGATTGTTCATATTCTTGTTAGCAATGCCATTTTCAAATTGATAGTCACAGTAACCTAATGTCCAGCACACTTTTCTACTAGCCCAGTGATCATGTCTTTGAATCTCTGCTGAGGCAATTTTAAATTGAATTAAACTTGGACTCCCAGGTTGATTAAGTCTAAAATGAGTACCATAAACTTGTATGGCAAAAACAGCGAGTTTAATACAGATCACATTGCCCATCATATGATGATTGGTCTGAAAAAAGTATGGGGTTAGTACCATACTAGTTTTTTTTACTGGCGGTGCACAGTGAACTAACACCATTTTTAAACAGCCATTTTTGTTTCAGCACCGCTGTGTTAGACACTGTAGTAAGCACTGGTACCTTTTCCCCTGGCTATATATACCCAATACACTTCAGGGTGTTGAAAAAGAATCCATTACTTATTTATAGGCTTTTTGTTCATGCCAGTAAAACAAATTTACACTTTTGTATTTGTCTTTTTAAATTTTACTTTCAGCCACTTTTTTTTTTTTCAAATACTGCTTTTTAAAGTGTTGTATTTGTTTACTCTGTACACAGTGTCTGAGCCAGGTCTAGGGTTTGACTCCAGAGGCCTGGGTCTCCGAGCCCAGAAGAAGCTGCTAGGAAAAATGACCAGTAAAAAGGTTGCCATGACTTTCATTGATGAAACAACAGGCCGGGTCCTCGACAACACACACAAGATTCTGAGGCAATATAAAGAGAGCAAGAAGGATGCTGATAAGATACTCAAATACATCATCAAGTCTTTGGTCAAGGTAAGGAGATTCAACATCTTAACTTGGGCCACTTGGCCGTCATGGTTTCTGTTGTAGGGGTGAGAACTGTGACACCTTCAGAAAGCTTTTGTGAGGTTTCATAGAGTATCATTTACACCTGTACAGGTACAGAAACAAAATTATAGACCCTTTTTCTTCACTTTTACTTGTGTAAGGTAATAGCCTCATATTTTTACAGTTCAATCGGCGAGTACTGAGTCAATATAGATTTTGGCCAATTGGATGTTTCAGAATATTTCAATGGCCCCTATTTTAGGCTGAATCAGCCTACAGGATGTTTTTGGTTTTTTGTTTGTTTTTAGAATTGTTAGCTACAATGTGGACCTGAAACATATGACCATCAGGCAAGCAGAAACTTGTGCTAGCCGTCACCTTATCGCAGCTCCCCATGGCTGGTGTCAGCCATCTTCACTTGTCATTTTCAGGAGTCACTTGGGAGTTAGTGCTCTTTCAGGCCTCTAGTAGAGAGGGACAGACAATGTGGAAGCGCTGAGACACGGCCTCATGTTCTGTTTTATTTTTATTTTATAAAATAAATTAGATCTGCATGAACTAAAAGTGGATGTTGTAATCTTTAAGTCACTACCACCTAGTTAGGTGAATATTATCTGAATATTGTTCACCTTCGTTTTTTTAATGTTTTTTTTTTTTGTACAGAAAATTTTTTTTTTTAAATAATTTTAATTTTTAATTTTATTTTTAAGGTTGGAATTCTGTACAGAAATGATCAGTTCAACAGAGAAGAACTGGACAAAATAGATCAGTTCAAACAGAAATTCCACACTTTGGCAATGACCGTAGTTTCTTTCCATGAGGTCAGTACAGTATATACAATGTTTTACGTTCTCAAAAAACTGTTTTTGTGTTTGCACAGCCAAGATATCATTTATCTACTTTTGAGGCAGACATAAATGTATAAGGTCACTAGTAGATAAGGCAATCATTTGTGTATGAAGTCACTAGTGGACAAGGCAATCATTTGTGTATGAAGTCACTAGTGGACAAGGCAATCATTTGTGTATGGTCACTAGTGGACAAGGTTGTCATTTGTGTATGAAGTCACTAGTGGACAAGGTTGTCATTTGTGTATGAAGTCACTAGTGGACAAGGTTGTCATTGTGTATGAAGTCACTAGTGGACAAGGCAATCATTTGTGTATGAAGTCACTAGTGGACAAGGCTGTCATTTGTGTCTGTAGACTTCTTCTTCTTTTTCTGCGTTGATCTGAAATATAAATGTGTTGCCCCCATTTACAACATGGCTGCAATATTTGCACCTTTCAGCCGACACATCTGACTTCTGCAGGTTTTGGATGCCTGGCTTATACTTCTTGGGTGAATTGCAACAGTCACTAGGTTATGAAGACAGTCACTAGGATATGAAGACAGTCACTAGGTTATGAAGACAGTCACTAGGTTATGAAGGCAGTCACTAGGTTATGAAGACAGTCACTAGAATATGAAGACAGTCACTAGGATATGAAGACAGTCACTAGGTTATGAAGACAGTCACTAGGTTATGAAGACAGTCACTAGGTTATGAAGACAGTCACTAGGTTATGAAGACAGTCACTAGGTTATGAAGACAGTCACTAGGTTATGAAGACAGTCACTAGGTTATGAAGACAGTCACTAGGTTATGAAGACAGTCACTAGGTTATGAAGACAGTCACTAGGTTATGAAGACAGTCACTAGGTTATGAAGACAGTCACTAGGATATGAAGACACTCACTAGGATATGAAGACAGTCACTAGGTTATGAAGACAGTCACTAGGTTATGAAGACAGTCACTAGGTTATGAAGACAGTCACTAGGTTATGAAGACAGTCACTAGGTTATGAAGACAGTCACTAGGTTATGAAGACAGTCACTAGGTTATGAAGACAGTCACTAGGTTATGAAGACAGTCACTAGGATATGAAGACAGTCACTAGGTTATGAAGACAGTCACTAGGATATGAAGACAGTCACTAGGTTATGAAGACAGTCACTAGGTTATGAAGACAGTCACTAGGTTATGAAGACAGTCACTAGGTTATGAAGACAGTCACTAGGTTATGAAGACAGTCACTAGGTTATGAAGACAGTCACCTGGGTTATGAAGACAGTCACCTGGGTTATGAAGATGCTCACTAGAATATGAAGACAGTCACTATGTTATGAAGACAGTCACTAGGTTATGAAGACATTCACTAGGTTATGAAGATACTCACTAGAATATGAAGACAGTCACTATGTTATGAAGACAGTCACTAGGTTATGAAGACATTCACTAGGTTATGAAGACATTCACTAGGTTATGAAGACAGTCACTAGAATATGAAGACAGTCACTAGGTTATGAAGACAGTCACTAGAATATGAAGACAGTCACTAGGTTATGAAGACAGTCACTAGAATATGAAGACAGTCACTAGGTTATGAAGACAGTCACTAGGTTATGAAGACAGTCACTAGGTTATGAAGACAGTCACTAGGTTATGAAGACAGTCACTAGGTTATGAAGACAGTCACCTGGGTTATGAAGATGCTCACTAGAATATGAAGACAGTCACTATGTTATGAAGACAGTCACTAGGTTATGAAGGCATTCACTAGGTTATGAAGATACTCACTAGAATATGAAGACAGTCACTATGTTATGAAGACAGTCACTAGGTTATGAAGACATTCACTATGTTATGAAGACAGTCACTAGGTTATGAAGACAGTGACTAGGTTATGAAGACAGTCACTAGGTTATGAAGATACTCACTAGAATATGAACACAGTCACTAGAATATGAAGACAGTCACTAGAATATGAAGACAGTCACTAGAATATGAAGACTGTCACTAGAATATGAAGACAGTCACTAGAATATGAAGACAGTGACTAGGTTATGAAGACAGTCACTAGGTTATGAAGACAGTCACTAGGTTATGAAGACAGTCACTAGGTTATGAAGACAGTCACTAGGTTATGAAGACAGTCACTAGGTTATGAAGACAGTCACTAGGTTATGAAGACAGTCACTAGGTTATGAAGACAGTCACTAGGTTATGAAGACAGTCACTAGGTTATGAAGACAGTCACTAGGTTATGAAGACATTCACTAGGTTATGAAGATACTCACTAGAATATGAAGACATTCACTAGGTTATGAAGATACTCACTAGAATATGAAGACAGTCACTAGGTTATGAAGACAGTCACTAGGTTATGAAGACATTCACTAGGTTATGAAGATACTCACTAGAATATGAAGACAGTGACTAGGTTATGAAGACAGTCACTAGGTTATGAAGATACTCACTAGAATATGAACACAGTCACTAGTGTCAAGACTGAACATCCAGCAAGTTCAAGAAACCAGGGATTCAGATAAGCGTGGTCAATCATTGGTTTATTGCCAGGTGTCACTATTAATCGTCCACACTATCATAATGATGATCTATGTGGACTCTGGGACATTATTACACGTTCAGTCGGATCAAGTTTGAAGTTTTGGTCCTTCATATCACTCTGGGTTCTTGAATTTCTTTGCTGATTCTTATATAATGTATGTGTTGCAATTATTACATCCATTCAGAAATTTTCATAGCTGACTTGGGTGTCCCTGTTCCACTATTATAACTGTCTAGCTTTGATGTTTGTGTGATTAGTAAGTGTAATCTGTGTTAACATGGCTATGATAGTATGCTATCATAACCTGGGAGCTACCTTTTTATAGTAGTGGGGGTGTCCAGCCAAGTGTGCCTAAGAATATTAGATATTCTGTAGTGCCAGAGCTTGAGTTGCCCTACTCCTGAAATAAGTTGAGCGAATATTGGGATATCCCTTAGACCAATATGAGCCGACGCCTCAACATTATTATTTCAGAGTGCTGTTGGTTCTTAAGGAGAAATCCTTAATTCAAGCACGCGACACAAGCGGTATGTGACAGGTATGAAGACAGTCACTGGTATAGAAGGTAAATATATGTACAAATACAGTCACTAGTTAAAGACAGTATTGACCACAAAGTATCTAAAAAGGTGTCAGTACTTACAACGAAGTACCTATTAAAGGAGCAGTAAAAAAAAACTGTATATGTTGATTACAGGTGGAGTTCACGTACGATAAAGTGTTCCTGAAGAATAGTCTGCAAGACTGCAAGCAGCTGCTTCAAGGTGTCATAGATCGACATTTGACTGACAAGTCTAAGTTCAGGATCGGGCTGGTGTTTGATACTTTCAGCGAACCTGAACTGTTGGACGCAGCATTCACCAGCACGGCCTACAAACATCACATGGAGGCCATCGTTGCTGATCTTAGTGCATTGCTGGATGATGGCAGTTTGTGATCTTTGGTGCTCATTGTGTTGACTTTCCTGATGCATCATGGGTAAATGGCAGATTATAAGATGTTAGGAGATAATGGGTAAAATTTAGAGATATGATGAACATATTGTAGATTTTTGCAGGTGCTTTTTTTGGATAGATATAGATTATATATTATATTAAAGGTAGATAGATAATTAAAGAAAGAATTGTAGCTGGGCAACAGAAAAATTATTGGTAGACTTTTGATAATAGCTAGGAAGACAATGAGTTTATTATAGATAGTTGAAGATGATAAAATTAGGTTGATTTCAGATGATAATTTCAGTGATGATAGATAGCTTATGTATGCTGAGTAAGTTATAGATGACATATGTTGAGTCGATAATAGATGATAGCTTATCAGTAAATAGTAGATTATGGTTAGATGGTATATTTTTGGTAGATGATGACTGGATAGTAGATGATATCAAGATGAAGTAAGTGAAGGCATGTTTACACCCTAAGGTGTGGTTGGCACATTGTTCTAGTCTCATATCATATTCTTATGGTCCAATGGGCAGCTGATGGATCACACTGTTGCTGCTCCCTGTATTTACCACTTGTGCTGTGTAAAAGAGAAGGGGGTAAACCTTTGAACCTGAAAAAATAAGGCCATATGGGTAGTGTAGTTGCCACAAACTGCAGGTGAGGATTTTATTGTTGCATCCTGCAGAAAGAAAAGCCACAGTCTTACCGAAGAATCACACTTGGGTCTCTGGCAAGAGAGCTCAGCACTCCTAATCATTCAATCAGCTGCTTCTCCTGATGATTGATTGATTGAGTTGTTTTTGTGTACATATTGTTTTTGTATGTATATTGCTATTTGAACATAACATGCTTTGAAGATAAAATAAAGTTACCGTATGAAAGATGATTGTTTTTAAGGGTGGAATGTAAGACGAGCCATATGCCTAACCTATGACCCTTAGATGGGTGATGTAGTCAATGTCATGCTGGCCATCCTAACGTCCCAAAACATTTCCTGGTATCCAATTTAAGCTGAGAGATGTTCAGTGATGGATTGATGATGGTAGTGTTGGATGTCAACTTATGAATGATGGCTGCTTGTGAGATTCATTCCTGAGTTCTCTGCTGATGTCACCTGTTCATGTTGCTATCACTGAGACTTTTGTGTGTGTGTGTGTGTGTGTGTGTGTGTGTGTGTGCTCATTGTGTCTTTTACACATTTCATTACTGGTTTGGTTTATAAAAAGGTCCCCTTCATTGCACACTTAGATACCTCCATATGTGCTCCAGGCTTGCCCCATACAAGGAGGATGTCTACGCAGTAACCAACATCTTTCACAGTGAGAATCCAAATGTATGCTTGTCTGTTCCACACAAGAACAACTCAATCATTCAGGTGCTGTCTTGGTTTTGACTGAAGGCTGCAATGGATCGCCAACACCTCTTGTCTTTCACCCTGGATGTACACTCTCTAAAACCACCTATCTCTTGATGTTATTCAAGATAAACTCAGTAAACTACACACAAATTTAAAATTCATAAGAGTAGATAAAACTTTTTTCTCTGTGCAAGCCAACTCTCATGTGTGTATGATCTGCGGGAGGTACATTACAGAAATTGCCGAAAAAACATTGGTTGAAAACCATATGGCCACACAGCCATCTGTGGTAGTGTCCTGCCTGGATAGTCGCCCAGGTGAGATGTTGTGCTTTACTATGTCTACGACCATGAACGTGATGTTAGAGTGCTGTGAAGGATGTGTCCCCCTATGCTGCATACCCACTTTGTGAACATCCATTCGCTACACACTACCGTAATGAGTTAAGGCCGTGAATTGAAATAGTAACATCTGTTTATTTCGCTAAGCGGGCGCTGAAGCACATCTTGATTGACACGACAAAAACAACACATAGTACACACGTTCTCGTGTCCCGTCTTTATTCACTTCTTGTAATAATCCTACTTGTCCAAGGAATCTTCTCACTAACAACACTGCACATTGATTAAAAGCTACACGTAGATAAGCCCCTCCACCGATGAAGCATTGTACTCATCTCTGCTCGTCCGTCCGTTACGACCTCCTTTTTATCAAGCGTGCCGTAAGAGGCTAGAATGGCGGTTGGCCATCCTTCCTTTCTTGTAACTACTAGGACTCCTAGTCTATGGTCCTGTCACTATCGTACTACAGTCTTGTCGATTTCCAGCTCCTACCGGACTGGTAGTCAGCGCTCAGCCTGTACAACTGCCGCAGAATGGCTGACCAATTTCTTATTCTCCCGTTGGTAATATGTTGCAGGGGCCGGCTTGTCACATGATCTGTTCCTAAACATTTCATTGGTTAACTACTATGGAAAGTTCCTCTCCCACCAAAGTTTAATGTACTAAATTAATTACCAGGTGTTCCTGGAAGATTGTCAATCTAATTGGGTCCACGTGACATTCCAGACATTCTCTGACGGCTGGCGCCTAGCACCTCAGTCCGTGAGAATCGTTTTGTTTGTGACTTTAGTTAAGCGGCGTAATTTGCCAGCTCGATGTGAAAACCTAGTACGTGGTGGTTTTTGATAGAACCCTCGGGCTGTGTGCCGACTGGGAAAGGGTCGAATATCTTATGGGTTTCAACTGCTTTGCCTGCGTCTAATCTCAGCAGTGGGGACGCTACTCTGTAACATATCTTTTTCATGCATGTAAAAGCAATTTACTGATTTTGTAAGGCTTTTAAATCAGTAAACTGCTTTTACATGCATGAAGAAGATGGCTGTGTGGCCATATGGCTTTCAAACAACAAAAAGTATCATACCAAATCACAACAGATGTGTATTTTAAGCATTAGAGAGCTCATCAAGTCAGACAAATGTGCTGCATGCAGATTCACTCGTGGAAGGACCATTTACAGTTGCCAGTTTGTGTATTTACACTGGCCACAATTTACTGGTTGTATGATTAGGAAACATGCATTAGATTCATGTTCTGGCATTAAAATAATTTGGTACTATTGCTATTAGTGAAAAGAGGGTGTAAAATAAATGAGTGCATACAACCACAGTATGGCCCTGGGTGTTCTAGCATTTTGTTATGATGTAAGCACATCCAGTATTCTTGTGTACTGAATGGGTGGGGTGGAAACTGAAGCTGAGAAAAGTATGACCTCAGTTTACTTTATATAGTGATATTTTTCTAAACATCTCTGTGTTAACTTGTTTGTGCCTCTATGCATTTTATTTCCTACTTCTGTTTATTATTAATTTTGGTTTCTTTGAGTTTTCTCATTTAAATTTCATTTTCGTTCCACTTATCTACTCAGTTTTGTGTATACTGCATTTTCGATATGGTTGAAACTGCTGTTGTTTGTTTCTGCTTTTGACTTTTCTTTTGTGTGTGTGTGTGTTTTATGTCTATTTTTAACACGTGTACTCTAGTATACTAACTAACTTTTCTGTCACTTTTTTTCCTCACTTAGTTAATTGGGTGTGTGGTTAATATCTTATTATATTTTATGTACACCTTATCTGGTACAGTCAGACTGTTGTAATAAATGTAGTTAACATCACAACGTTGACTTCACCACCTAGAACTTATTACCTTGTGAAGAAAGAGCTAGTGGGTTTGTACTTCACCACCTAAAACTTATCACCTTGTGAAATATTGATTTGTGGGTTTGTAGTTTATTAGTCTTCAACTTGTTCTGACAGAATGGTTTGTATAAGACAAAACTATTCAGTTGAGTTTACTCAGGGAACAACATTTTGAAAACAGGCCCCAGCTCCAGCATAAAAAGATCATTAGTTCAATGTTCAGCAGACCATATTTGTCTCTTTGGTTCAGTAGCCCTGGTATAAGAGTTCAGTGTCTTTTAATGAGGCTGAAATATTTCATTTGGACCCTTTTTGTTGTACAGTAGTCCAGTGCTAATTTCCCAATCGTGGTTGAATCCATGAAGAAACACTGTAGCCATGGGGGTGGATGTAACTTCATAAAAGAGGTAGCAGTGCTGACTCTGGGAAAGTCATGGCATCCTGTTTAGCATCAACTTTCAGTTCATTTGATCAGAGAATATATGGGTTTGACACCATCTTCAACACAACTAAGATTTTGGGAATTGGTGTCAGCTTTGGCAGAAATAGGTTTGATCACAGGCAGGAACCACAAAGAGACATTCACAACGAATGCAGTGTGGATGCATTAACGACATCAGTGTTCTTATATCTGCTGAGAAAGACAGAGCATCTATAGATGTTTCCTGTGTGCTGCTATGTTGATTCTAGTCAGTCTGTCAATCCATACTTCAGTTTAGTGGTATGTGAAATAATACATTAACTTTTTACTTGCATGTTTCAGACCACATAGAAACTATTGAAGCAATGACTGGGTCTCTTTTGATATTTCCCACAAGATATTGCCACATGGTTTTCTCTTATGACATCTCACCAAGTTTGTAAACTCACATTTGTGTTTTCAAAAATATATTTGATATTTGAAAAGTTTACAAATTGTAATTCATTCTGGACATTCTGATTCACTTATTAAATAATGAATTGTGTGAAGCATGGTGCCTGCTTGTTTTTGTTGCAGCTGTGTTTATCTACATGCACGTCTTATCTTCATCTGTAACATTTGACATTTACAAGGGCATTTATTGAATATAAAGCAGTCAGCACAAGACGGGTGATTTTGGCAGCATTACTCCTTTACTTCCCATAAACGTACCAGGTACACATTTAAGGCTGGGTTGATCTGAGAGCCAGGTCATTTTTGTAAAAGAGGTGGGCCCAGTCAGGACCTGAGCTTACGACTTTTTGATCCGCAAACAAGCATCTAGCTGCTACACCGCAGCGGCTCCTGGATAAAAAGCAAGCAGAGCCATAATTGTCTTTGGTAACTCTTTGAGCAAGCAACTCAACCGCGAGGTGTGGGAATTCTTCTATACGTACTTTTGCCTAAAACTAACTAGCAGGACATGTAAGAAACAACTGTCAACCTTTAGGGACCTGTAACTATTAAAATTTTTGTGCTG